ATCCTCTATTATATCTTCTATCGCTCTATCTCCCCTCTCTCTCTCTCTCTCCTCGCTCTCCCTCTCCCTGTCTTCATCCGCTCTACTCTCCCTCTCTCTCTTATACCTCTCTCTCTTACCTCTATATTCCTACATCTATCCCTCTATCCCTCCCTACCTCTATCTCTCTCTCCTCTCTCTCTCTCTCTCTCTCTACCTCTCTCTATCTCTACTCTCTCTATCTCTCTCTCTCCTCTCTGTCTCTCCTCGCTCCCTGTCCTCTCTCCCCTTCTCTCTACCTCTCTTGTCTCTCTGCCCCTCCCCTCCCATCTTCTTCTTCTCTATCTCTCTATATCTCTATATCTCCTATCTCTATCTCTCTCCACTCCCTCTCTCTCTCCCCCATCCCTCTCTTTTTATCTCTCTCTCTCCTCTCTCTCTCCCCTCCCTATCTCACTCTCCCCCTCCCTCTATCCCCTCGCTCCCTACCTCTCATCACTCTCCGCCTCCCTCTCCTCCCTCTCCCCCTACACTTATCATCTCTCCCGCCTCGCTCACTCTCTCCCTCCCTCTCTCTTCCCTCCATATCTCTCTCTACTACCTATCTCTCTTATCCTCCCTCTCTCTCTCTCCTACCTACCTCCCTCGCTCATACGATCCCTACCGCATATAATCCCATCCCTCTCTCTCTAGACCTACATCCATATCGCTACCCTACACTACTCTCCCTCCCTCCATCCTCTCTCCCTCCCCTCCCTCCCCCTCCATCCTCTATATACAATACCATCCCTACTCCATCCCTATCTCTCCAGCCCTCCCTCTCTCACTACCTCCAGCCATCCACCCTCCATCCATCGCTCGCCCTCTCCATCCCTCTCCACTACCTCTACCTCCCCTCTCTCTATCTCTCTCTATCTCTCTCATCGATCTCTATACTATGATCTAGATCTCTATCTTATATCTTCTCTTCATCCCTAGATACGCTACATCCCCCCTACCATACTCCCTTATATACATGGTAGAAAAACCCACAAGGCAGAAATAAACTTCTACCAAGACTCTTTCCTAAATAAACTCCTCACCTGCCCTACACTGAGGGTAACTATTCTCTTTATCGCCCTCTTCACCCTCTCAACTGCAGGTCGATCTTTCACCAGATGAACACTCTCTGTTGCAACCTTGTACACATCAGTCCACCCTCTACCTCAAAGGTAGGCACCTATGCTGTTCCTTGTGCCTCCTGTGATAAGCAATACTTTGGCGAGACAGGCTCCAGTCTCACTAAGCATCTGTCTCAACACAAGTACGCTGTATCCAGGGGACACAACAACGCCTTCTTTTGCCATCAGTGGGACACAGGCCATCAGATGGACTGGTCAATGGCATGAATTGTCTTTCCCTCTGCTGATTTCCATGCCTGCAGACTGGTGGAATCTTCCTTAATAAAGCTGCTACCTAATTTTAACCTGAAGAGTGGCTTTTCTACTACCAACAGTTTCCTCACTTCCCACATCCTTCACCTTCTCCCTTATGCTGGCCACCCTGCACATTGTTGTCTGATCCTCCGACCTCACCTGCCCATTGTTACTGCATTGCCTCTCCTCTCTCTCTTTTCTATCCCCTCCTCTCCCTTTCCTCTTCAGACCTGAAGATGGAATCCAGATGGATTTCAAAATTGTAGTCTCATATTCAGTAAATCTAGTTTTTGCATTATGGGTTTTTCTACCATAGTAGAGAAACCCAAAAGAGTGTTTTACCATTCATATACATACATATATATATATACATATGTATACATGTACTTCCCCATTATTTGAATCTGAAATTTAAGAACTTTTCCTTGGCTTTTCCATGTCCAAAAATTATATTTCAAGGATGTATTTTGAACAAAATATGACATCCAGTTCTTAAGCAGTATACAATAAAAGGTAAAAATGGATGACACCATCTTCAAGTAGATTTCTCATAAAATATTTTCATAAACTTTATTATAATTTTCAAGCAATACTCTGAAATAAACTCTTATCAGAACTTGTGTTCAAGCTCCAAACTATTGAAACAGATGGTACAAGTAGAGGAACAGCAAATATAATGGTCCACAGAAATGTAAAATACAAAATAATCAAATCTCCAGTATCTAGTGTTTAAAATGAACTAATGATTCTTTGCATTTTGTATAATGACATAAATGCTTTTCATGGAGGTGTATATAA